ATGTTAAAATACTTCATTTAAGTAGATAAAATTTTGATTGAATATAAATAAATATATATCATTATGGAGAACTCGTACTCATTAATATCAAACTAATTATCATGAATAAATATAATATTCGAGTGTCATGAAATAAAATTACCAATGTTTATCGTTTTTCATTATTTTCAATATTGTATTTCATGTATCATATGTATCATATTAAAAATGGTATACGAGTATTAAATACTAGAATATAATTTTTGTTTCGTAATTGATTCTTTACATGAAAGGTGTAAGTAGTATTTGTAAAATGATTGTAAACATTTTTAAAAAGTAAATATTAAATTTCAGAACAAATTGTAGAATTCAATTGATATTTCAGAATATATAAATTTCAACGAATAATATTGAAATTTGATTGACAAAGATACATGCTTTACAAATTTCATTATTATTAAAATATGAAAATAAGATTAATGAATAGACTAAAATAGATTTAATAACAATTTTTTTATGCTAATTAAATAAATTTTTAAATCAACTTTTGTCTTACATTTATATACATTCACAGAAGTATAAACAATTATTTAAGCATAAATTACATATTTCTTCTTGAAACTGATTTTTCAACACAAAAAAAAAAAGGTAAAATAAATAATGTGATTGCTTCTTATGATCTATTAAATATCAACATAGTCACACACGAATTCATATACTCATATGTACGTACAACCTTTTAAGACAAGAGTTTAGTGATAAACAAAGTCGTACAATGGAATGCGATATCAACTTTCATTAATGACTTGCCAATCTGTTAATGTTCCGCTTAGCTTATTAAATGGTCGTAAATTTATTATACATTATTCAATTTTTTTTTGATCACCAAACAAATAAGAATGATTTCTTTTTTGAAGATTCATGAAAACATAACACAGCTAATTATGATAGTTTTAATAAAATAAAATGAATAATTAAAATATTTATTCAGTTGAATATTAGTTAAATATTTAATTATATATTTAATATTAATGATGATTATTATTTACTCTTCTTAATTATTACTTATGCTGTTTTTGTAATTTTTGTTCTAGCCGTCATTATTAAATATCTTCGAATTTAAATATCCCTTTGCAATTTATTTACGTATAAAGTTTAAAACAGTATAAATTTCAAATTTATTACAATAATAATAACAAATTTTATATTAGCGACCAAAGTATATTTATGTAGGAGCGTTAAAATATTACGACACGAAATATTATTTCCTTTTGTAAAACGCATAGTATTTCATGGAAAATATTAAAAATTAAACTAAAATGAAGTGAAATAGCATGATATTGATAAAATAAATGATAAGATAAATTGAAATATAATCAATTTTACTATCTATTTTAGAAATAAATTATACTTAGTAAATATAAGAAAATTTTTGCTCAAAATCTTCACCGTAATTATATTATTAAAAAAATATATATAATTTCTTGTTTGTCTTTCGTTTATTTTATAATTACAACACCATGATTCAAAATTTCTTATATGGATTATTAAGATTCATTAGAAAAATACACATATAAATTGAATATTTGTGGAGCATAGATATTTCACTATTACCCTTAGACTTCTAACGAGCTAAGAAAAAATTAAAAAGTAAAACTTCACGCGAGCTAATAATAACGGATACACACCGTACATCATCGCTCTTTTAGGCTTGAATTCGTGACGCACTACTACGGCCTTTATATCCTTAATACACTACCATATAGGATGTCGAGAATGGTTCAAAGACGCTTTGAACGCGAAGAAGTGAACCATGGTCGTCGGGTTTTAATACTCCTTTCTTCGGTGCGCGTTTACCGCGAGTCAGTCCAACTTCTTTTCTGTCTCTCTCTCTCTCTCTCTCTCTCTCTCTCTCTCTCTCTCGTACTCTCACTAACCCCCTTCCGCCCCCTCGTCGCCTCACTCCCCCGCCGACCTATCATCGCATACTACGCACACAGTCATTGCGAAAATGGGTGTCATAGTTTTGAGGTCCTTAAGATGGTAAACGCACCGACAAGAAAACAGTCGCCAATACTGGTTTTAATGAAAAACGTTTTGTAAACACTCATTCTGCGGCCAAAGAAACATTTTTTTTTTCTTTTTTTTTTTTTCTCATGATTACAAGTAAGTTACTTCATCGACCATTATTCGGATTAGTCATTCGACTCTTCAAAATAATGATGAATCGTAAAACAGCCATTTCCTTTAATCGATTAAAACGACGGTATACACTGATTATTGTATAATGAATGTATTTCATATTATTTTAGTTCGCATTATTTTTTAAAGATTCAATTGTCTTTTATTCTATTGTACTATTAGATTATATGTTTTCATTATGATTAAAACTTAATTTGCCTAACGTTAAATTTAGGCCAGTTACCTATTTCAGTATTTTAGATAGAAATAATTTTTTTTTTTTTATAATATTTTCCTATATAGTACTTAATATATACTGAATATACCTAATATCATTATTAAAAAATTCGTTAAAATCTTTCAAAATTCTCTTTAAATAAAACAATAACTCAATTAAAATTATCAACAATAAAGCATAATTCAATGAATTAATAATTGAGTTATTTTACTGTTTTAATTAATGTCAATAAGCGAGTGGAAAATAATTTTAACGGTTACGTAAATATATTTAATGGATCATTATGGATTGAACTTAAATAGAAATATTTAGTTCTTTACTATAAAATTGTGAAATAGAATACCAAATTATCTTCAATAAAAAAAAAAAATTATGAATATTAAGAATTTAGCGAATTTAACTATCAAATATTTCAATTAAAATAATAGATTAGTTTTATTATTAAGTAAATTAATTAGTCAATCAATTACAAAGTAATGAATTCCGACAATTACATTTTTCATTTTGTATGCATTTAAGATTTTACAACGAACAATTTTATTTTAGCAAAATATATATTGCATTTGAAGTAAGTATTGTTATAAAAAATCATTAATAAAATTTATAAATTTTACACAATAGATGTGTGAATCGTTTCTGATAGTTACAATTCCAATTGTGAGGATATTTTTTTTTTTTTTATTTCAAGGACTATGACAATTTTCAAATGTCGAATAAATTATTTTATCCGAGAACGTGAATGTTATATAATTTTCTAGGAAAGTACATCTAATAAATTTTGCCATTAACCTTAAAGATGTTTATAATTTAATTTCTTATATTTATCGTTAATAATTCATATAGGTACGCATATAAGTTCAGATGGTTTGTATTAAGATAAACTATTACAATGAAAATTTATAATATTATGTTGAAAAACTCTGAAAAGTATTCAATAACCATTTTATAAAGAGCATAATTTATTAATTAATAACTACTTGAACGAATTGATTGAAACTATTGATTGAAAAACTTGTATTCGATACTGTAAATTGTAATCATAGTTTCAAGTTATTTAAATTGCAATAGGAAGAAATATGTTTCAGTTTTCAAAACAATGAGAATTAAAGTAATTTAAGCTTCTGATTCTCAATGTCAATCTTCCTCTTATTTTTAAGTAATATATTTCTTTTCTTATTCAAGCACGCACTTGGAATAGCCGATTATATCGCATCGCTGGTTTTATCATTTTAAAGAGGAAACATTTTTCATGAGACTTTGCGAAAGCTGTATTTTTCATTGTTATACATGTATGTTAAAGTAGGTCAAGGCAGATGTGAGATATGAATATCCTTACTAATACTCTATGATCATTAATAATATAAACAGTTTGTTGCGCATTGATTGTACTTAAGGGGCATTGTTTTCCGATGAGAGATAGTATAAATTTCTATCGCTATCGAGCTCTTTTATATACATTTATATACTTTCTAGTAGGATTTTTGTTAATATAAGCATATATAAATAACCGAACTTGCCATCATTAGAATTTTTTGTTTTGCGCGCGAGAAGATTTTTCCTTTTCTTTTTATAAAAAGGTTTCGTTATATTGTTCGAGATAATTTTTATTTCCTTATAAATACGGGAATTTAGATAAGATTAGGCTGCGCAAATATCTTTTTAAAAACTAAAGCTGGAAGGCAGATAAAGCAGAGTTGAAGAAAAAGAAATAAGATATAAGTCTTAAACGCATAGATTGTATTAAGATTATTTTTAAATTTAATTTCTTGATCAGTATTGCAAGTCTAATGAATTATCAATAATAAAATTAATTATTTAATGTAATTTTTGTATTTTTTTCAACGGCATTATCGATTATGATTATTATCGATCTATATAAAATTGATTTATAATAGTTGACATTTTCCGTAATGATGGAAAAAAAATTGTCGTTTAGAAATAATCGATAAATCATTTGCTCAGTGTTTACGAAAAACTTTTTTGTCACGTGTAACTATCGCAGCAAGAAATTTTTAACGGCTTATTATTAACTTTGTAAAAGCAAATTTTTCTTGTAATTATTCTAGAAGATAAGAGTATTTTAAACAACACACGATATGTATTATTTTAAAAAAAACACAAAAATATTTTTTAAAAAAAAAAAAAAAAAAAAAAAAAAAAAAAAAATAAATAAATAAATAAATAAAGTACCGAAGCAGATTATTATTTTAAATAAAGTTCAATTATATTAATAAATATTCACTTTGACAATCGAAAATTCAAATACACTCCTATCGATAGTAGCAAATTACACAGAATGCAATATTTACCAATTATTTGCAGGTTTTACATGTTTTTAATCTTTACCCGACTATAATACGAATAATTTGCAGATAATCAACGTAATGTCATTATTGCGTGACAAATAAGTCTTAAAAAGTGTACTATTGTACAGCCGTATGCAACTGAGAAGTTGGACGATCGGTATGGGCAGGAGGTGGATCTTGACCTGCTGTCAGGGTGCGAAGCAACTGGAGAGCGCAAAATTAGGTCAACAAATTTTCAAATCGCTTCCGGGCGAAAGCTTCCTTTGACAAACTCTCTCCCCAATGCAAGAACTCACTTTTCGCTGGGCTTCCGCGGCAAATCCGGACTTGGTAGCTCTGTTACAAGCCATGCTGACTGCTGACATTAACCGTTGCTTCCACAATGATACAACCGCCGATGAGCAAAGTGTTGCACCCACCCGTTTACTTATCAAGTGTCTCTACGTGCACGCGCAAAATCGGACAAGATTTACAAGCGCACGAGTGCGAATTCACAAACGCAACGACATTCACGCTTGGACGATCGCGTTTCGACTGGTTTTCAGTTCCAGTGGAGTCCAGAACGCAACCGGCGGCAAGAGTTTAACAGGAGCGAGTAGCGCCGCCAGCCGCAGTTTTCCTCCCTCTCCGGGACTCCGATCCCTCTCCATCGACCGTCTCGCTATTTTTTCTTCCTTTATACTCTCTCTCTCTCTCTCTCTCTCTCTCTCTCTCTCTCTCTCTCTCTCTCTGTGTCAAACATACACGCGCGCACACACGCACACGCACAAACAATCATTATTACGCGCACGTGCTTAGCAATTGAAAAGGGGAGCAAGAGGGACGGTTAAGAATGTTACTACTCGTCTTATACGTGTGTATTTTGAAAGTTTCAGAAAATTTAATAGTATGCCATGCACCAACATTGTACAGAGACACTCTGCAAGTAAAAAATTAACATAGTTGTTAATAATATGCTAGTCAAAAAATTTTGCGAATACTTCGTTGGATCTATCGAATCGCAATTTTTTTTATTTACAATTTTTTTCTTATTGACAATTTCAACTACTACTACTACTACTACTACTACTACTACTACTATGAATAGATATTATGCTAATAATAATAAGAATAGATTTTATTAAAGACAAAATTTTTGAATAGTTAATTTTAACGTTATTCATTTTTATTAAAGTAAGTTTAAAAATATAAAATAATTATTATTTCATTTTTATTTCATTGTATTATTCCCTTTCATTTCTAAATAATAAGAAATTGCACGAATGCAATTTCACATAAAAGTAAATCACCATTTCATAATGATAGCTGGATTAGAATTGAGATTCAAGGTCATTTCCAATTTCCATCTTTATAATCATCATATTAAATCATAACTTATTATCGTAATATTGATATAACTACATTAATGTTAATATAAATCTTAATACAATTTATGATCGAAATCACACCTTTTTAAATAATGTCCTTTACACGACATTGTCTTTCTTAATCCATCGAAAAATTAATAGACTTGGACCGTTCAATTATTTCTCTATTACTTAAGTGTCCAAAAAATTTTACTCTTAATTTTATAAATCATTAGTTAAATCAATGTTACGCTTCTAATGTAATTATATGGATGCCATGTTAATAAATCAAAACATTTTTAACATTCTTAATATACTTGTTCGCGCTGATTACAATGAAGCGATCGACTTCTGTATCGACTCTCTATATTTATAAATATAATGGGGTGACCTGCCAGGAATGCGACCTACCGTCTCAAAGTGCTGAGAATCATTGTCCCAGTTTCCTCTAACCAACCGAGTCCTTCATGACAATAATGTAAGGTGCGAGAGCAAGTATTGGAATTGGATATTACAAGTATACTACGACAAACAGAAGCAAATAGACGCTAAGGGCATTCTGAATTATTACATTACTCGATTAGTTTATCTCATAATAACTCGTAAAAATACCACGTGTGGTGAAACAACTGTAATTCATTTTAACATAATGCGAGAATAATAGCCAGTGATATCCGTTATTAGCTGATAATTCGCGCAAACGTCTATTTGATTGTCTTTTCGACGAATCGCGACTGTTTAATTTCTTCACGAATATGATATTAAGCCTATATCCATTTATTAGTAAATAAAAATTGAGATGAATTATATATTAATGTGGGAGACATTAAGAGATACATCGCTGTTATCATTAAAAAAGACGAGATCATCGGCCTCCCTACGATTATTATATCTATGAGAGCAAAGAGGGACGGAAGACTAATCAGGAATAAGCATAGATTCCCTTTTCCCCAATCATCGGCTTAACTTGGCAATGTTTATCGAGACACGAACGGGTAAGAGGCATAGAGATAGAGATAGAGATAGAAATAGAGATAGAGATAGAGAGAGATAGAGAGAGAGAGATAGAGAGAGAGAGAGAGAGAGACTCGAAGGAAAACGTCAAAGAGTTATCGTTCTTTTCTTTTGTGCGAATCTGCGGCTGATTTAACTACATTACCCCCACTCGATCACCCGTACTGCACTCAAATTATTATAGTTTAATATTTGTTCCATGTCGTTGCACAAGGAATTTTCGTACCTCTTTGCCTCTCGATTATTTTCCCGCACAAATGTTCTTCAATAATAATAATAATTATTAATATTTCAATTTATTCAATATATTACTTCAATAAATAACAATGATGTCCATTTATATTATTAAAATCAAGAGTTCGTATCTTTATCTTATTCACATACACAGATGATAGTGCAATAATTAATGATACGATTAACTTAAAAAATCTTAAAATTAATATATAAAATATCATTCAATATAAAAAACTAACGACTAATGCTAGTAATTTTATTACTGCCTGTATACTTTAAATGATTAATTGGTTAGATAATATCAGATTATTATGTATAATAACACAACAGTATTCTCGTAATAATGATATTCTTAATTATTATTATTTCTTCATAATAATTATAATTAATTATTATAATTAATCATTATTATTAATTTTAACGCTCATTATTTATTTATTTATTATTTATTAAATAATATGGAAAATTAATATAATTGTATAAGCAATGAGCTCTCCTAAAACTAAAATGTTTTGCTTTTAAAAAGCACCTCATAATTTATGTTTAATTACTTAATAAGTAAAGCTGATAATTACTTGAACTCTTAAATACTTGGTTCTACGTAGTTATATTCACATGCAATTTTACTTAAATATTTTTGTGTATTAATTATGTTGCTATCAGTATCTTAATTCGACAATAGCAATGATATGCAAAAGCTATTATAATTTTGATTATGTTATAATTATAGAAATGTCATTTACAATTTTACATACGGATAAAACTATATTTTTAAGTACATACAATAAATTATACGTAAATATGCATTCTATATTGATGCAGTATTAATACAACTTTGAGCACTTAGGTTATTAGAATATATTTAAAATATTTATTTGCTAATTATTTATGGACTATTTGTATATTCAAATCTTATTCGCGATTATTCGAGTTTAAAAATTTAATGTAATTAATTGTTATATAATTAACTAAGTTGATATTTTTATTAGGAAATATATGAAGCTTCATTAAAGATAAAATTAAAAAGTTCTTAAAGTTATTCTTTCTTACGAATCACATTTTCATATTTATTACAAATACGTTAAATTTTTTATTTCTTATTCGCTACAAAAATTAGACATTTGCCAAAAAGAAATTTAATGTAATCCAAAAAAATTATATCTACATAATCTAAAGATAAATTTAGAGTAAATTAATCGTAACTTATCTATCGATGAATTAATTTATTACAAGAATGAAAGAAAATCTCTTAACCTAATTTGTTTATCCATGAGTTTAATGTTCACTTCCTAAAAATATCTGTTCAAATAACTCGCACGGTTTTACATATAAAATTAGAGTAGTTAATGTCTTACATATTGCATTTTTTGCATAAGTACTCTTTATTCATACAAATATACTAAATTGAAGCTAAAAATTTCAATTTCAATTTTCTAGATTATTTATTTATTATAATATAACCTTCATTGTTAGGGAATTGAAAAATAAGCTATTTCACTTAATCATAAATTCGTAGCACTAATTTTGAACTAAAAATTAGTTCAATGTTCAGTTATCAAATTTTCCAAATTTTTATATTCTGCGAAATTCGAACGCCTTCGGTATTAGAGACGCATCTTGCCAATACACTTTTTATATAAACGATATTTCCTTTACTTAATACGAAATATAATATTTCATTAAAAACCACTGCACTACATATGCCAGTCTTTTATAAAATACATATGTTATCATTTACTTTTTATCCGACAAGATCACAAGACCTCTCCTGACACAACAAAAGCCTTACTACGCGCATACTCCCGACACGCAAATAGATGCATTTTTTACATTCTTTGAGAGAAATTTGACTGAAAGCACAAGCGAGAAGTGTAGTGATCATGTGGATCGTCTGGAATTCGCTCGATAACAGGATTTGAGCAGTTACGAGCTACTTCCTCCTACTACTTCGATTTGTGTAAGACGGTAATGTATGGTCGAGTGATTATTTAGTTTCCCGTATAATTTTATATTATTAGTTATTTATTATTCATGTTTTATATAAATATTTATAAATATGTTGTCATTAAATATTAATTGTTAAATTGTAGTATGTTTGTTACGTTAAATTTAGTATTGCATTATTCGTTAAAAGTATTAACGGAAATATTTTTATATTATATTAATTATTATATGTATAAACAATTATATTTCTCCAACCTCATCAAATTAACATAAATAACGTAGAATGATTCATCATCTTTTTATCATGAAATTTTTAATTATCATGTTAAGAATAAATTGTTTTCGATAATTTATTTATGCTATTTCGTTAACAATGTTTCAATATAAAATATAGCCTATTATTAATATTAAATTTCATTTGATGCATTAACATACTATAATTTCAATGAATTAGTACAATTGACTTATAATTAATATAAATTTTTATTATGTTTATGGCATTAATGGTCGAAGAATAAATTTTACTTTTCATAAGCCCGTATTATTTGTAATTTTATATTACGGATAATTTGTACTAAATATAATTAATTATCCAAATTTGAGTTTGATCCATACCAAATTTGATCCAAACTAGTTGTATTAGAATGTAGATAAATGTTGGAATAAATTAGCTATTTCTGTAACAAGTTTGTTATCGAGTATTCGACCTTTTTCCCAAAATGAAATATTTGTGAGTTCACAAGTGCAAGGATGTGTCATGCTAATTATCTGTATTCACATATTTTTTTACCTTATGATGATTTCACCTATTTCATGAGATATAATTTAAATTAATAGATCGTAATACTCTACTGTAATGTGACTACTTCACATAAATCGAGAATCTCCACCGGCCGATTAAGCAAAAGGAGTTAATTTTGTTTTGGAATATTTGCAGAGTTGCAAAGTTTCTACGATATTTATTATCAATAATTTAAAGAGTATTATTTATTGTAAATTGAGATGA